GATGGTTGTTAGCTGCCATATGGGTGCTGGGAACCGAATCGGAATCCTCTGCAAGAGCAGCCAGTGCTCCTAACTGCTGAGCCTGGTCTCCAGACCCCTTTTAAAAAGATGTTTTTTGAGACAGGATTTCACTGTGTAGTCCTGGCTGGACACAAATTTACTTGTAGACCAGGTTGGCCTTGAACTTGTGGTACTCCTCCAGCCCCTGCCTCCTGCATGCTGGAATTACAGGCATGCACCACCACATCCATCTGTGTTCTTACCCAAGCCTCCACAAATGCTGTCCTTATGTTGGCTATTGGTGGCCCAAGGCAACCAAGTCTCCCAAATTGAATATAAAGGTCCAACAACATTGGTCAGAGGAACTCACCTGCCCTGCAGGCTGCCTTGTACCCAGTTCTTGGCTGTTGCTGAAGGCTGCATAGCCAGCTACCTTCCAATTTCCCAGAGGACCAATGCTTCATTCCAGGGGAGTTTTTGATCCCCTCAGTCTGCAGCCTTGGGTACTAAGGTACTACCATCCCAACCAGGCCGGGGAGATGTGGGTGAGCCCTTTCCTGGAGCATACATGCTCCAGCGGGAGCTCTGTTCTGCCACCCATCTGTTCCAGCCTCAGGCACCCCTTACTTTACAAATAGATAAGCAGGTATCATTCTAGATTTAAAATTTAGAGTTGGCACAGCAACATGCCAAATAGTACCTACACAGTAGGCCTTATTTTAATTCCTTATTGCTATAACAAACTGACCCAACCATGGATATCTTAAGCAAGGAATGACTAATTCTATGATGGGGGGGGCATACACTGGGGAAGGACTCTGCTGGTAGTTCTTCTGCTCCACTTGCATCAGCACTGACTTGGCCACACTCAGCAGACAGAACTGAAACCCAGAGTGCTTTGCTCATGTGAAAGGCACTTGGGGTTCCACTTCACTTCTGCATGCTAGCCAGGGTCCATCACAGCATAGGTCACAGCAAACTCCAGTCCTCACAAAACCACTGAATTGCCACAAATCCAGCAGGCCTCTTAATGACAAAAGTAGAGTTGGCATAGTGTTGCCTCTGCTGTCTTAGCTAAAGTTAAATTCTATGGAAGGGACAGGCTCCACCTCTAGGTGAGTGGAGTCCCCCCCCCTGACACACACATACACATCCAGGGATGGATGGGGGACAAGGAGAGTGATCATCCTTGAAAGTCTACCTGGTCCCCAACTCTATTCACCTGGTCTGTGCTTATTATATTTCTCTCCCTTCTCCCAGGAAAGTAATTTAAGGCATCAAGTGCCCTCCATTCAGGGTGTGTTGTGGCCAGTAGAGACCTGTATTCACTTTCATGGTAATACAACAGGAGATGGGAAAACCTCAGGGGAGGCATGAAATGGTTTAGCTACCGAGACTGGAGACATGTCCAGGACTCCCAGCCTCATACACAGACACTTTGTCTCATACTGTGCCAGCCCCAAGGGACGTTGAATCAATGGCAGAGAGGATGCACTGGTAAGGGACAGCACCTTCCTTGTTTCATCCCTGTCACAGAAGCTTCCTAATCCTTAAGACAGACTCGAAGGAAGAAAAGGGCTTCCCAATGACTGATGTTGATTTTCCACTGAAGAGGAAGAAGGTGCAGACTGGGATTTGAATTAATTTAAGTAAAATGAGGCATTTCATGCACAACCAATAACCACAGGCATTACCCTATTATTAGACCATCCAACCTTGGAATCATCAAAGTCATACTGGTAGTGGCTGGAAACACAGGAAGCTCACTTCCAAAGCCATTAATGTCTAAAAACTAAAGTGGAATACCTCATAGGAGGATGGATAAACTGTGGACGTTGTTTTGTTAAGATTCTGAGAGGGGCCAAAAGTGGTGGTGCATGCCTTTAATCCCAGCACTTGGGAAGCAAAGGCAGGCGGATCTGAATTCCAGGCCTGTCAGGGCTACACAGTGAGAAAGATCCTGTCTCAAATAAAGAGAAAAAAGGAAAAAAAAAAAAAAGATTATGAAGGGGTTTTCTGAGGTTTTCAGTCCTGCTCATTTTCACTGGCTGCAGGAAACACCCCCATTTGGCTTAAAGGACCCAGCAAAAGTTGTTCCATGGCACCAGAGACAGCTGCTGCACTCTGACCATGGGGGTGGGGGGACACAGACTTGGGTGACACTGAGGGCCTATGAATATGAATATTCTCTCTTGGCACACTATTGATAGCAGTGCTGTGAGCTGTGCTCTTGGAACAGTCACTGTGGACCAGGATACCCAGCAAACCTGGAGCTCATTTTGAACTGCAAGCTTTTACTTGGGAAACTGCTGTAGGCTGGTTGAGGAAAAAGTGAATTACGGCATTTTCAGCCCTAGGTTTGGGGATGGGATTGGGAATAGAGATTCCTGAATGTGAATTCCAATGCCCAGAGTTGGGAAGGGTGAGGGCTTAGAAACTGAAGCCAGAAGCCATATAGGACTGGGCTATCTACTGGGAACAAATGTGGGTAGCTGCTTTGTGTTATGAGGTCAGAGCCAGGCTGCTCCTGTTGAGTGAGTGCAAACACCTGCAGGTTTCCTCACTGGGCCTTCTACTTTCATATAGGAAAAGCATTATTGTCAAAAGAGAAGCAGAGTCTTCGGGGAGTATGATTTCTAAATGCCCAAGGCCGGTATGCTCTATGTACTGACACTGAGTTGGAGTGGTGGGGTCCAGAAGGAATGGCTGGCCATTTGCTATTAGCTGACTGGAATCAGAAACCTGTGAGATGGCTCAGTGGGTAAAGGCACTTGCCACTAAGCCTGAGGAGCTGAGTTTGAACCCAGGTATCCACATGATAGGAAAAAAGACTCCTTCAAATTTTTCTCTTAACTGCCACATGTATGCTATACACACACAAAAATAAATCAATAAACTGTATTAAAAAGAAGCCTAGCCAGGCGTGGTGGCGCATGCCTGTAGTCCCAGCACTTGGGAGGCAGAGGCAGGCAGATCTCTGTGAGTTCAAGGCCAGCCTGGTCTACATAGTGAGTTCCAGGACAGCTGGGGCGACAGGGAGACCCTGTCTCATAAAGACAAAAAAAAAAAAGCCTGACTCAAACTGCCTCTGTGACCCAGGGCAGTCAGGTTACCTGAGCCTCAGTTTCTTCACCAGTGATTTGGTGAGGGGATAGCAGCACTGGGAATGTTACTAGCCAGCACATCATCTTCCCAAGTCCTTGTTCAGTGGAAGGTGAGGGTTTGTTCCCAAGTTTCTGAATGAGAGCTTTAGTAATGTTCAGGCCAAAGTCATGTGCGTTAGGGTTCAGGGAAGATAGATACAGCCACCAGATGTGTGAGGCCCTTCCTTCCCCCAGCAAGCCTCCAGGGACTTTATATGGTGTTAAGGATGGTAATCACGGGGCACAAGGCAGTGGGGTGACTAAGTAGCATTATGAACATGGTTTCTTCTTCACGAAGGTTTTTGGATGAGTTGTCCCTGAGCATTGACTCCTTCGCTGGAAATACAGATAGTCAGCATCCATGTATATGCGTACCCAGCAACTGGATCGAGAGTTGTTTGCAAAGCCAGCTAGTTCAGTGATCAGCAAGCTCAGACTAGGGAGCACCCCCTGTGTGGAAATCAGCTTAAATGGTCTATTAAACTGTAGGTTTTTGAACAGCTTTCTTTCTGGGACTGACTAGCCCAGTAAGAACACATTGTCGCCAGGTGTGGTGGCGCATGCCTTTGGACCCAGTACTTGGGAGGCAGAGGCAGGAAGATCTCTGAGTTTGAGGTCAGCCTGGTCTACATAGTGAGTTCCAGGTCAGCTGGGGCTACAGGTCTCAAAAAGACCAAAAAACAAAACAAAACAAACAACAACAACAACAAAAAAAAAAACCCCACGTCTTTGGTAAGCTTCCTTGGTTGACATCTCACAAGTATTTTCACAACTCTGCCAGAGAGCTGGCCACGCCCTGTGTGACTCAGAAAGGACTCTAGTACCTGGTACCCCCACCCCCACCTTTGTTCCACCTACCTTTCTTAGTATGGGCTGTGCCTAGAATGCTTTTGCAAGATTAAATCATAGTCATGACTGCTGCTACAGGTGAAGTCCTTGAACTCTTCTAGAGAATTGATGAACTACAGCATGGTCTTGGGATGCTGATACACACCCATATCCTTTTCTTCCAGGCAGGCCTGGGACAACAATGCCCTGCCTCTGGACTAGGCTCCTGAGCTTGGTCATTAGTGACATTCCTCATCCTCCTCTCAGGGGACCTTCTGAGCTATAGGAATGGATTCTTGGGAAGATTTTAGGCAGCTTACTGGGTGGTGCAGGTAGAGAAGGCAGTGGGATCATCATTTCCAGTGCTGAGCCTCTTTAATCCTGAAGCTCAGTTCCAACAATTTGGTTCCTTCAGCACAGATGTCCTGCTTGCCCCATGTAAGTGAACACTGACATCACAGCACCAAGACCTAAAGGTATCCAAATCCTAAACCTTACAGAACAAAGTCCCAAAGTGGGAAACAGAGGCCCAACTGGGGGTGTGTAGATACTGCTGCCAGCCCCACATACTGTGCCTTTCTATCACCATTGTTTTCTCCAGTCCCCCACACCAGGTCCTGAGGCCCTGAGGGTGGTGGGGCATCTAGATACTATAATGAACACATCTAGTTATCCCAAGTTATTCAGCTCATGAGGGGCAAGAGAGGTATCTGATTCCAGGTCTCTCACCTTCTAGGGCAATGTTTCTTGCTAGGGGAAAGCCCTAGGACACAACACTGACACACTCCATGCTGTCTAAACCGTACATGCAGAGGAAAAGGGTGTAGAAGGCTGGCTCTCAGCAATACTCCCACCAACATCAGTGCCTGCACTCAGCTGTGCCTGTGTGACCTGGGATTTCTTAACCTTAGCAAGCACAGAAAGCTTCTGCTCCAGCCAACATCAGCCAGCATCTAGATGCAACCAACCCCAGGATTCATCCATTTACTCTTAGTAAAGATATGAAATAAACAAAAGGACAACAGCAAGTAAGAGATGCTATAACTTTATAAAAATGTGGTAATACAGCAATATTTGATTAGGTTTTTCTGGCAAGTTTATAAAAAAATCTGGAATAAAAATGAGAAACACAACTTAATAAAAATTATAAACACAAAGATTTCAAGGATACTGGTCTTTAGAAAGACAATGGAGGGCAAACAGTGAGCAGCAGAAGCAGCAGCAACATGGAGGAAAAGCTGATTCTGTGTAGTGGGGACAAAGCCCTCAGGCCAGTGTGAACCTGGGCTGGGGGAAAAGGGTAGGCAGTGACCATCAGAGGCACGAAGGCTTCCCAAATGAGACCAGACTGATGGCTGCTGGCAGTGGGTGGAGGGGAACACAGGCCTCCCACAGGCAGACCACATGCAACGCCCTTTGGCAGGGCCTACCGGCCACATGGCAGTGATCCAGTCAAATCCCAAAGAACCAGGTTGGAAGGCTGCCTTCTTCCTCTGTCCATCGTTTCCCACCTAGAATGCTCAGTGGGTAGAAACTCAAGATGTTAACCCAAGCATGGGTGTCAACTATGCCAGGGAGAACCAAGAAACATCACTATATGGGCTATTCACAAAGCACTTCTCAGGTCATTTACAAAACAGCCAAGGCAAAGGTAGGACTACCTTGGAGAGGCAGACTGGAACACCCTCAAACATTCCCACATATGGAAAGGATGTCCAAGGGATGCTGGGGGAATGCTTGACTACATTCTGAGGTAGTCTAACGTGACTTGCACAGGGAGCTGAGAATGATTACAAAAAGTAGAGGGAGGGTAGAAAAGTTGCCAGAGAGATAAAGGCTAACATATATCACAGAAGCCAGCTCATAGACAATCATCAAGTAGCCTGGGCTCAGGGTTGGCTGATGGTGAGGCCCAAATGAACCCTGGGCACACATGCCTTGGTTCTGCTCTCTGTTACAGCAGTGTGGCAAGAGATGAGGGATTTGCAGAGGGATTTCCTGGCCCAGAAAAGGGGCACTCTGAAATGAGGCATGCCAGTCTAAATGCTAAGTCTTCTGCTACTGACTCATGCCCCGATGAGCCTGAGAGTCTGAGGCTTTGGCCAGAAGAATCTCAGTGTTCCTTTCAACTACCACTCCTTTAAACTGGACATGTTTGGGGGAAAGCAATGCTTTCAACTTGGAAAACAGAAGGTCCCTGTAGCTGAGGGAACAACCAGGCCCTAAGCCACCACTAAATGAGGAATACAAGAAAGAAAAGCAAAGGTGACCTATTCCTTTTTAAGACTAATTCACATTCTTTTTTCTAGTCTGCCCCAGCATCCAGAATTCTAAGACAAGATGGAATGTTCTGAAGGTTTAAGAGGCAATAGCTGTGTGAAATGTTAGTATTTTCGCTGTTTCCCGCATTTCCGGGACCGCCTTCTAGGACGGAGCTCGCCAAAGTCTTCAACATCATTTTCATAATCATCTTCTTGAACAATACCTATTTAGGAAGCAAAAAGTAGAAACAAATGAAGACAGTAACTTCCTGTTCTACTGTGAAGTTCAGCATCCAGTAAAACCTAATGTTTCTGGGCTGGAGACACAGTTTAGTGGTTAAGAGCACTAGCTCCTCTTGCAGAAGACCTGGGTTCATTTCCAAGCACCCACATGGCAGGTAACAACTGTCCATAACCCCAGCTCCAGGGGATCTGATGCCCTCTTCTGACCTCTGTGGCCGTGGGCATTTCACGACATGGGTGCACTTACACACATGTAGGCAATACACTCATACACATAAAATAAAAATATTGAAAAAAACCTAACCTTCCATAATTATTGTTTTAATGTAAAGAAAAAGCCTTCTGCCTGGATGCTAGAGAAATGGAACTTTCCTTTGAGTACTGGCATGGCTTCCCAAGAGGCGGCAAAGCAAATATCTTCCAGAATTAAGCTCTTTATAGGCTGGTTCCTTGTGTTGGTATGCTAATTATCTCTCCCTTGAAACAATCAAAATCATAATCCCTTGGAGAAACTTTTAAATGCTAAAGACATTTTTATTGTCACATTTGTGCCAAGTTCCTCCAAGTTTTCCTTTGCTCTGGAGTCTGGATTTTCAGTAGCACTGGAAAAGTATCAGCCCAGTGAGACACTCAGAACAAGAAGCAATATTCCCAGCTCGAAGTGAGCCACAGTCAGAAAGGGCAAGAGAGAAGACATTCTAAGAGCATACAGAATGTGGCAAAATTCTGACTGCCAGCAAGAAACCTGCTATATTCTGCACAAGCTTGGAACCCTCTGCAGGGATGCCTGTGACTTCCCTAATGATTTGCTTTGTTCGTAAGTACATCCCCAGACCAGACTAGGGCTGTCACATATTAGACACGCAACAGATCCCCACTGGCTAAAAGGATAGATTGACATAGGCAAACATATTTATCAAGGGGTGGTTTTACAATACCATATATCCTTGGGAGTTGCTGTACTGAGTTTACGGAGTGACTACATCATCAATAACAGCTCATGACCAATGGAAGTTTTTAGCAACTATCACAAGCTTTAAAAAATGGCTCCCATAGTCAGATGGGACAATTGTGTCACTGACACTTTGGCTTGCCAGAGTGACACTACCAGAGAGGGAATGAACCACTTCTCACATCACTGGAAAACCCACTTGAGACTCACCTACGAGCCATCAAAGGCTTACCTTCCTCTTTCAAGCGGAATTCAGTCTTCATCAGCCAATCCTGTGCATCCTTAACTGACAGGGTCAGAATTTTGACCTGCCGAGTCATCACCTCCTCTGCTACAGAAACCGCTACAGGAAGAAAAAAAAAAAAAAAAAAAAAAAAAAAAAAGGGCACTGAATGTCAAATACTCAAATCCCACCTCCCAGTAGCTAATCTGGCTTTCACTGGAGAGCCCTTCCTATCATGTAAGGGACCCAAAGCTGCCTTCTGCCACCACAAGCATCAGTTACCTTTGAATGCTAGCCCAGTGCCATTACTGTATATCTGTAGAGACCAACATTGGCAAGTCTTTCAAGGCAACCTGTGGTCAAAATGTCATTAAGCCCTAACCTGGGGAAAATTCTGAATTACAGAATATTTTTAAATGCAATTTTATTAATTTTATGCATACCAGTATTGCTGAAAAGTAGCTAGCTAATAAAGGGAAAACTTGATTCAAAAACCAGATAAAACCTATTACAAAAGGCTCACAGTGGGTGTGATTTAGGGGGCCATCCTCAGAAGAGACCCATACACTTTCAGTACCTATCCTAGGGTTCATCACCTAGTAGATGCTCAAGAAAAGATCACTGAATGAGTACAAAGGAACCTTGAAGAGTTTCCTCACGACTTTAACCACTCTCCCTGTATCTTCTCCATAGAATTAGTTAGCAAACTATTTTCTCATCTGCAGTACCTAGGAAAATCATCCTGACTTACAATAATCACAAATATTTATCTGGCAAGGGTCTCAACTGAGATTTTGCTGGAATTTGATGACACCCTTCACTTGTCTTTCTGTTAATGCTAACAGTTCACCACCCCCAAGTCAGTTGTAACTCTGAGTGTCCTACCTCACCTGGGCCCATCTCAGTGCCTGGACCCACCTCTGCAGGACTCTCACCTTCAGCCCAGGCCTTCCTCCTGTACAGCTCCTCCACCAAATCCGAAACCCTCCTGATGCGCTCCTGCACCTTCCTCTGCAGCATGTGGCTCTGTTCCTTGGAGCCCAGGTGACTGCGGATCCATATGCTCTGCTCAATGTCCTGTACCACCACTTTGCCTTCATCGATGGCTGGGTCCACCTTCTCATGGAAAAATTCCAGGTATTTCTGATAGGCTGCTTGCTGCCTCTGGTGGCTTTCCAGGCGAATGTGCTGCTCATAGGACTCGCTGCTTCTTTCGCGGCATTCCCTCCGCTCCAGCTCAGCCCTGGAAAGGACCACAGCCTCTGAGGCTGCTCCCTCAAACACTTTGCCAGGATTAAAGTAGCCCTCGGGGCTGCGGCTGAACTTTACACCACACAGGTCGCACTGCGTCCTGTCTACATCAGCCCTTTTGAAGTTCCCAGCCCTGGGCTCCCTGGCCTCTTCCCTGACATGTTCTGCCTGGATCCATCTCCTCCAGGTGATGCACAGAGACACCACCAGGCAGGCTCTGCGTAGTTTGCGCTGGACGGAGGCCTTGCGCTGCTTCTGGGAAAGGATGGCGGCCAGAAAGTGATCTCGTTCCTCCAATGCCACCTCATCCAACTCTTCCATCTCGTCTTCACCTAAGTCCCACTCTGGTTCAGCAAAGTGGTCCACAGGGCCCACACAGAGCAGGCGGTTCAGTCTGACCTCCTCATGACAGAGGCCACGCACAGTGGTGCCTTTGGTGTGCACACTGTCCCACCGCCAGTGGCAGTCCACCAGATATTCTTCATCCCGCTCGAAGAGCAGATCCTGCAGTGCCTCAGCCACAGACTTCACGCTGCCCGCCACCAACACCCGCTGCACCACCTTCCGCAGCCTCTGGGGAACCTGGTCTGGCCAGTCCATGCTCATCAGCTCCAGCCTTGTCTGGATCTCCTGGAAGTGGCGATACAGAAGTGTCTTACAAAAGGGCTGCAGGACTTCCTCAGCGTTCACCAGCATCACCAAACACAGCACCAGTGTCCGCTCAGCCTCGCCTGAAATCACATAGTCTATTTCACTGAAGGCATCGAGCAGGACATTGAAGTTCATATTCTCGTAACCACACAGCACCTTGACGAGGTAGGAGAGGTGGAACCTGAAGTCCCGAATGGCTCTGGCCACATCCTTCGGCTTGTACTCTTGAATAATGGAGAACACATCGCTGAGCTCCCTGTCCTTCTTGCTGGACAGGAACTCCCAGTAGTGCAAGAGCGCAATGTAGCTCTTAGGGAGGCACAGGACGGCGTTCTTCCAGAGGCGGGTCAGCACCACTCCACAGTGGACAAACTGGAGTTCCAGTAGCAGCACTGTGTTGATAATGCTGGGGATGAGTGGTTCTTTGCATCGCTTGATGAGGACATTCATGAAGCGATAGAAGAGCCTCTTGTAGTCTTCAGGGTTTCTATGCACATAGAGCTGGTCCATGGAACTCTCCAGCAGCCGAATGAAGCACAAATGAGACTTTTCTGTACTTTCATCTTCCTTGTTGGGCACTAGCATGCCAAATTTCCCTTCTATTCCTTTCATTTTGCTGCCTCTCCCCCTGCTCCTTTCCTCTTTGTCAGACTCCAGGGCTTTCAGCTCCCGATTGTAACTGTCCTCCTCCTGGTGGAGCAGCTTTTCAAACTCCTCCGGGTAGCTGGATGAGAGAAGGAAAGTCTGCATGGCCCTCAACCACAGGTCTGTGGATTCCCGGCGGCTGTGTGCACTTTCGTTTTGGAACAGGTTATAGATGTACTCTTTCAAGGCAAACCGGTAGGATCGGAAGGACTTGTAATTTGTCTTGAGAATTTCTTTGCAAGCCATGGGGTTTTCTGACAGTACTCTCTGATGGAAATGCCTAGGGAAGAGGACATTCAGGAAGGATTTACAAAGGCTATACATATCTGTAGACAAAATACCATCAATTTCCTCAAGTTCTTCAGCTAAGATTTTAGGGAATACTTTTTTGGCTTCCAGAAGCAACCCATTGATTGCCACCAGGTGCATTTTTGACTGAACCATGCACTTGGCCTCACAGCGCCTCAGGGGTCTGTGGAAATCTTCACACCGCTCATCCTCGCATTTTAAGCCCACAGTAAATCTTGTGCAGACTGCCGGGTAGGTCTTTGCAAGAAGGCTCTGTGTGATCTGACACAGTCTGCTCAAAAGGTGCTTGTTCAGAGCCAGTTTCACCTGTTCAGTTGTGATCAAGAAGTGATCTTTCGTTTTCTTCTCACTCAAGGTCAAATTCAACTCAAAAACTCTTCTCAATATGGGCCCAGGGTCATTCTGGGCTATCTGACAATACTTGGCATCTACCTGGGAAATTCCAAAAAACTCAAAGCAAGATTTGACCATTTCTTTTTCAGCATTGTTAGTCACTTTTTTGAGGGCTCTGACCAAATTGAGAAGGACTTCCAAGCCCCCTGGAGCCAGGGCCAGAACCTTCTGAGGCTCAGCCTCACACTGGCTGGCTGCTTCATAGAGAGCTTCCACAACCCCAGCCGAGTGGTTGAGCATGTCAAATTTGATGAAGGCATCTCTGAGCTTCTGAAAGTCTCGCAGGATGATCCCTTGCAGGAACTGGGCCTCTGCGATGCCAGACAGCTGGCTAGTTTGATAGCAGAGATCAAGTGCTTCTCTTAGAATAGTCTTTGTATGTTCTATGTCAGAATCTCTGGCCACATTGAGGCGGGCAACTCCCAGCAGACACGAGGCCTGGAAGTCCTTGTCGGCAGTGAGCCTGGCAGCCTCCAGGAGGCAGCCATGTTGCTTCATCAACAGGGCAGCCTCTTCTCTCCGACCTTCCCTGTTCAGCAGGTCTGCTGCTTCTGCTAGGCATTTCCGAGACTTCAGGAACACCAGCTGGTCCTCTACATCGAGCTTGGAAAGGACAGCCATCATTTCCTTAGTCTTATTTGCACTCAGATACTTTGCAGCAGCTTCCAAGTAAAATTGACTGGCAGAATAGGACAGCTTGGAAACGGGAAAGGTCTTGGTCTTTAGCATTTCCTCATATCTGCAAAGACAGAGGGTACAATGTCAACTTGTCATCACCACAATAAGAAAATCCCTCCAAAATACAATGCAAAACAACTTAAATAAAGCCCCCATGTGCAGATATTAGAGAATGGACCTAAACCTGTCAAGCACTCAAGTAGTTTTAGAAATTCTTCACTGTCTAGTTACTAGTATAGTAACAAAATAATCAGGCATTACTATGCTTTCTTAGTGAAATACTATAGTGGTACAACTCAAGCAGGTACGAGTTAAATTGAAAGTTAATTTGCAGTGCAAAATTTATGTATAATCAAAACTACAGCCTGATAATAATTTGCGTACTCAAGTTTGGCAAATTTGACAGTGGTAATGAGAGAGGACAAAATGAGTGCTATGAACACCAGTGACTGCGGCAGTCTTTGTCATCCTATCTAACTTGCAAATTTTCTCTTTTACCAGGTGTGCTGGATTCATGTTAGACTGATGAAGCTCTCAAGGGTCCTTGTATTTGACTGACTGGAGACAGTATTTCCTACTATAAACACACTATAACATACCCATCTTTTCCAGCCCTCTCTCCTCACCATGCTGTGTCAGAGCTTATCAAGAGGCTGAGAGGCAGCATCCTGCTCTCAATGAACTCCACCACTGCACCAAGGCCTCTACTCAAGTGAAAGAGATTGACATGGTCAGGCCACTTCCGAAGTGGCAGAATATCCTTCTGAGAGAAGTGAGAGGAAAGGAGGAAGCAAAAGAATGAAACCACCTACTTTTCCACTGCAATGGCAGCTTCCTCAAAAAGCTCCTCTTGGCAGTACATTCTGAGTGCAAGGTCAAATTCCTGAATCTGCTCAAAGCATCTGAAAGCATCTTTGTAGCACTGGCTTCGCTTATAGAAATGGGCAGCATCTCTTATCTAGAGCAGAGAACAATTTTACTTTTATTTAGAGTATTCTGACTTTTTCTCTTAAAAATAAACCATTACAGGCTAGAGAGATGGCTCAGGGATTAAAAAAACAAACTGATCTTCCAGAGGACCCAGGTTTAGCTCCCAGCACCCATATTGGGCAGCTCACAACTGCCTATAACTCAAGTTTCAGGGGATCTGATACTTCTAGCCTCTGCAGGCACCTGTACTCATATTCACATACATCACACACAGAGACAGACACACATACATAATTAAAAATAAAATAAACCATAAAAAGTTAAATAAACTAATACCATGAATAACAAGATGTCTATTATTTTAGAATCCATTTGAAACTATAATATAGACAATATTAGGAAAACTATAAAATAAGCTAAATCCCAGTGTCACACCACATACAAAGGTAAACTCCATGTGATTTAAAGATTTAAATACGAAACTACTGAGGTTTAAAATTATGAAAATATCTTTGTGACCTGGAGGTAAAAAAATGTTTTCAACAAACCCCAAACACACAAATTTTAGGAGAAAAACTGATGAATTTGATGATTACAAAGCTGTTCAAAGGACGCATGAAAGTTAAGAGAAAAACCAACGTTAAGGGTTTGGAACATAGCTCAGTGGTAGAGCGCTTGCCTAACTTGTGGGGTCTCAGGTTAAATTCCTAGCATGGAAAAAAATAAAGGGGATGGGGGGTAAGAGGGAAGGAGAGAGGGAAGAAAAACAATTTTAATACTGAGCAGCATTGCCAAACAGAGCTCTTTGAGAGAACAGAAGTGTTCCACTACTGTATAATCCTGTCTATTAGTCACTAACAACATCCGAATACTGAGACCTTGATATGTAGGTAGTATAACCTAGGAACTGAATTTTAAAATTTAACTTTAACATTAAATAGCCACATATGACTAGTAGCTACCATACAAGTGTTGGCAGGCCTAGAACATAAGAATTCTACAACCACAAGGAAAAGACTTCCTTGGAAACAGGACAAAAACACTCAAAGAATATAAACTGGTAGTTTGCAGCAGGGAAAACTTGAATGATTAAAGTAAAGATATTCAACCAAATCAATCTCATTCATAACCAAAGGAATGTAAATTAAATCCACAGTGAGAGACATCTACTGGTTTTCAAAAATTACAATCTGCAAAACAGGGCCAAGGATATGAGGACATAGAACGCTTATGCACAAAATAGAATAGCCATTCTGGAGAGCAAGGTGGTCATACCTAGTAACTGAATACAGTAGCCGTGTATTCCAGGGCAGCAAGCCCCTCTAACAACATGTCATAAAAGGCTCCAGCAGGGGAGTCATGAGATGTGCTATACCAATGTTGTGTGTGGCAGCCAGGTACTAGTAGGAGCTGGGACTTTCACTACTGGGGAAATAGACAGTAATACAGTGAATGCTCACTCTAGAATATTACCAGTTTAGAGAAAGACATGGCCAGAGCTTAACACAATAAGAAAGGTGGGGAAAGCAAAAGCACAGATGTTACTCAGATAAGATTAAATGTATGTGTCAGGAAAGCACCACTAGTTAATCTGTAATAATGCATGCAAATGAGGCTGATGGCAGGTTAAACAGCACACAATGGGAGAGAGAAAAAGTGACAGGCAAGGCCTGTTTCCTATAGCCTCTAATTAGAGTTCAAGGCAATGGCATAAAGATTGGAGGGCAGAGGATAGAAAAACTGGAAAGGCTAGAAAAACTGGAAACTATCCTAGCTCCAGGAATGTGGGACCCAAAAGACCATTCCAATTGAAGTGTGGTGTTCCTTTTCCATCTCCACCTCCCATATCCCTACAAGTCACATCCTGTAGTAAACATGGAGTCAGGTCTACGGCATTGAGAAGACCTTATCTCCTTCTCAGACACTGACCTAGACACACACTTTGAATTTCTCAGTAGGTCCCATCCTCCACCCCTTATCCCATACCCAGAGATCCTAGAAATTGCCACACTGACAGATGCAGAAACCTGCCTTGCAACTGGAGGGTAGGAAACTTCTGACAGGAGGTAGAACAGCTCACAGATCTCTAGATGCTTTCTGGTACAGCTTCTGCAACTGCCAGATTTTCTACTCCATCATAACTGGTATATTACAAAGGAATTGTGGGGCTGGAGAGATGGCTCAGTGGCTAAAGTCCTTGCCCCACAAGTTTGAGAACCTGAGTTTGTATACCTGAGACTGTTAAAAGCCTGGGGGTGGGGTGGAAATAAAGAGCTCAAGAGAAGAGGGGACCATAGGAGACAGGTATTATCAAGGGAGAAATGGAGAAAATGGAGATACTTTAACTGGAGAGAGGGTTAACAGAGGGAGAGAGAGAGAGGGAGGGAGGGAGGGAGAGAGAGAGAGAGAGAGAAGAAAGAGATAAATAATGTCTAGCTAGTATAAAAAACCCAGAGGGAATTGTATTAGTACAAAAGCCTATTGAAATTGGGTGTGGTGGCAACACACCTTTAATCCCAGCACTCGGGAGGCAGAGGCAGGCAGATCTCTGTGAGTTCAAGGCCAGCCTGGTCAACATAGTGAGTTCCAGGTCAGCTGGGGCTACAGGAGGCCTTGTTTCCAAAACAAACAAACAAAAAAGACCAAAAATCTACTGAAAATTACACATACAATATCTCTACATGAGTCCATGTATACAGCTGAAGGCTCTACAATAATAAACAGTGCCAGATAGGAGACATCTCCCTTTGAGTTGCTGGGCCAGGGTAGTTCCCAAAATTGCACAGGCTATTACCACAGCCCTTGATTACCTCCCAAAACTTGAGGGTAAAACCCTATCGTTGAAGACAGGATATACTTTGGACACAGGATTTGGAGCAAGAAAGCTGGAACTAACCTGGAAGCCACCTCCCCTGAAGGCTAATTCTCATAGATTTGGAGAGCACTACACAAGCTGCTAAGGGAGAACATCAATTGATGGTCCAACAACCCCAGCTTTAAGGCCTAATAACCAAAACAATGACTGGCACAGCAAACTATACTGGGGCAGTAGTGACGCTTTTATTTTAGGGGTAATCAACAGCTACCTAATTGAACTTAAAGGCCACTCAATAAGAGGAAACTCATGTGTGGTACTGTAAATATAGCCAAATGCACACGTCTGGAGAGGTCACATACCTTAGAGAACACCCCAAGGCTGTCACATCCCTAGAGAAATGTAATTGATTATTATATGCAAAATATGAATCCTTATATTTACAGACAAGTATCCCAGTCACCACTCATCGAAGAAGCTTCTTTTGCAACATCTGGAGATTATTACGGAGTTCCACAACTGATCATACACAGAGACTGTGAACTGCCCAAGCCTAAGTGACACATCTACAATGAAACCTCTACACCTAAGGCTCACAGAACACAGTGGAACAAGGGGTAGAGAGAACATTAATGCATCTCTCAACTCTCATCAATGAAGCTCCCTCATGCAACAGAGGGTCATAAACACAAAAGGACACAAATGGCCAAAGCGTAGAGAATAAGAGTCTGCAGAGTATGGGTCCTTGGTCAGGACTCCTATAATAAACTCCATCCAGCCAGGACTCCAGGACCATTGTGGAAGAGGGGGCAGAAAGACTGTAAGAGCCAGGGAGACAGCACATGACCACATGGAAATAGAGTCCTACAGGCTCCTGGGACCTTGCTCTTAATGACCTATAGCAATGGTGTCAGCATGCACAAGACCCATGTACACTGAAGCAGGCAAAAACCCAGCACAGAACTGCAAATAGGCAACAGGCCTCAATCTTAGTCAAAGAATTATTGGCAGCTGATTACTGCTGGGTGAGGAAGAACTGATCTTCCTAAAGGGTAGGACTCTAGATAGTCTGACTAGACTTCAGGGGATGAACTTGCACTGAGGAACATCTGGGGACACTAACTTCACTTGATAGGCCTTTATACAAATGACAGAATACATGCATCCGTGGGGGAGCCATGGAAGGTGTCAATGGGGAAGGGGGTATAAAGATGATTAAGATGTTCTGTATGAAATATACAAAAATTCAGTAAAAAACTTACAAAAAAAAAAAGCCTGGTGGGCATGGTGGCCTTGGAAAGTAAAGATGGGAGATCCACAGAGTAAGACTAGCTGTACCAGTGAGCTCTGCGTTTGAGTGAGGAAACCTGCTTCAATGAAGAAGATAGAAGAGCAATGGAGGATGACTTCTAACATCAACCCTGGGCCTCCACAGGCATGTGCACACCATGTGCACCATACACATGTGTACACATACCACACACATGAAAACTGAAAAAACAATTTTAAAGGAGTTTCTAGAAAATGACCACTGCTTGAAGGTCAAGCAGAACAACACAGCTCTAAACAATTTCTGCTTATTCTCTCCTGTTTCAATCCTGCTGCAGACAAACAACTATCTGTGGCCTACTGCCAGCTTGCTGACCACTCTATGAGTAGCTGTACTCCAGGCTAGCAGCTCTGCCCCAATTATGCCGTTCTGCAACAATGAGCCCTCACACTGTGGCTAGTGACCACGAGGACACAAAACTTAACTTTATTTCCTGTGAATTCATTTAATTTTAAATCAAGGAGCCACACATGGCTGCTGGAGTGGACAGTAAAGATCTAGAGTAATTACTTGGGAACACAAAACTTCCATGTAAACACAAAGCTACTTAAGCTGACAGTAGACTATGAACATAAAGAGAAAGCAAAAATATTCTAATGCAAGGCTACAGAGATGACTCAGCAATTAAGAGCACTGGCTACTCTTGAAGAGGACCTGGGTTCAGTTCTCCACACACACAAGGCAGCTAACATTCATCTGTAACTCCAGTTCCAGGAGAATCCAACGCCCTTTTCTGTCTTCTGCAGGCACTGCACGACAGAGGTACACTTACACACATGCAGGCAATTCACTCATAAAATAAAAATAATAAAATGTTTTTTAAAATATTCTAATGACCATCTGCTGTTGGTTGAAGACTTGGCCTCCCTGGTATCAACCACATGTCTATGTGATGTACGCATAGACATACACAGACACAAAGACACACTCTTCAGAGTCTTCTAAAAGCTTCAGCAAGTAGAGAAAGAAAGACCATAGTCAACAGGGCCAGCCTCTCCTTCCTTCAAAGGACTGGAGCCTCTTTCTGCCAGAAGAAGTCAAGAGGCCCACCCTCCATCTGCTCAAGGGAAGCCCCAATCTTTGAGTACCACCTTGGTTTGGGGACCATACCTTTCCCAACCTCTCACACAACTGGGCAGAGAGCCGGAACTCCTTAGCATAGCTCAGACACTTAAGGGACAGCTTTGGCTCACTGCATTCCAAGTAAGTCTTAGCTAGCTCCAAATACTGCAATTGCTTCTCCCTAGGGAAAGGGAAACACAACAGGATTTTCATGAAACATTGACCAATATATTCAGACTGCTACTGTCAGCGGAGCATATCTGACATGATCCTGAAATACTTACTTAGGGCTGACTTTCTTGGATTTCATGTTCAGGGCAGTATTGTGAGCCAGGGCCAACTTCTCCTTCTCAAATGCACCTCCTTTCTGGTAACACTTAGCTGCAACCTAGAATAGGCCAAAAGGTTTGATTCCCAGCAAGGTAATGGAGATGACAGAACAAGAGTCAAAGCATGCATTATGTTCCTACAGACAGAGCCCTGTGTCTTGCCCTGCCCAACTTGACAGGAAAGAGCAGGAAGGTGCAGGTTATTTAAAGAGAGGCCTCTCCAAAGACAGAGCTCAGCAGTGGAACCAGCTTACACACCCAAAGGTTTCATTAGGAAGTAGCCAGAAGCCATGAAAACGGTGTCCACTATGTATTTCTATAGGCCATCACAATAACAATTTTGTTTAATCTTCCAACAAGCTGCATACATGAGGCATCCTCCTCATCACTCTATGTAGTAGCAACCTTAGTCAGAGCCTTGGAGCAATGGGCCCAAAATCACCCAGTGGCTTTTCTGGGCTTTGACATAGTTGCTAACTACAGTGGTAACTTATGTGCTGGTGCAACAGCAGTAGAAGTGGTGGGGTAGAAATGCGGTAGGGATGGCATCAGAGCACATCCAGACTCTCGGAGCATGAGGATCTGTAGTAACAAACCTCTTGACAATGAGGTATACAAACTAGTGTCACAGGGTCCCTAACCATAACCCAAACCCAGGCCAGCAGAAATCTGCTCTTCTAAAACAGAAATGCTTGCATGTGTCTCAGCACAGGATGCAGGAGCAGAAAGCTCACCTTGTGCCTGGCATTAGTCTTCAGTGTGGGCATGGAGGCACCAAGTGGCACTTGCTGACAGAGCGCTCTTTGCTCCTGTCTCCCCAGCTCCTCAGGCCTCATTCACTCCTGGGACCTGTGCCACACTCCTTCCCACCCTGGGGCCTTTGCATGCACTGTTCTAGCTGATATGCTCTTCCTTCCCTTTCTCTGCCTAACTAACTTCATTTATTCCACAAGGTCCCTTTTCTTAACAAAGGCTTTCCTGACCTCCTGTGTCTGGGACAGGTGGCTCTGGAGGCAGCTGGTTCTCATCTGTGGCACCTGCGACAACTGAACTGCGAACTCATCTATGTGCCTCTGTTGCTCACCATCGTATTCCTAGGATCTAAACATAAAGTTTGGCCCATAGCTCAACAAGTATTTGTTGAATGAATGGTCTTGTATGGTGGTTCTGAAACATTCATTGACATGCAGCCAAAAACTCAATAAGCCACCTGAGTCCTGAAGTCCTTTAGCGGGGTCAAAATAAAGTCAGGCGAGGAGAAGGCTTTTTATAACATTCTCATCTGTGCCGGCTCCCCTAAAAAAATTTTAGATTCAAACATTCAAAAGGTATTTTTGAAGGGATAAATAATTGGAAATCCATGGACAACACATATGGGCAACAGCAATGATGTTCTGAAAGGAGTAAAGGTAACTTGATATATTGCAGTTTTCTAACGCCACACCCACACCTGCTTCCCATCTCATCTCACTATTCCCTCCCTACCACCACCCTCCACCCTGCCAAAAAGTTCTTGGTTTTACAACAACAGCCAAACGTTCAGTATTTCTTTCCAATTATAAAAAGGACAAACAATGAATAAAGTTTAAGGCTCAATCAATTTCTGCAGCTAAATATTATATATATTAAAATGACGTTCCATACATATTAAATCTACAGCAGTACAATTTGTGTTTCCTCACCTCATGTAATAGACTGCAAAGACAGCCAGAGTCCTTCACTCTCTGCCCACACTCTGACAGTACACCTTTGTAGCCTCTCCTACCACTGTACTCAGGAACGCTGCCAAGCTCCCTGTCTTTTTATGTGAGCTGTGACTTATCTAGTCAAGAGAATTCAGGGGCAGTGGCGTGGGGCTAATTCTAAGACCAGGCCTCAAGGACTGACATACTTCTGTTCACTCTTTAAGTCCTGAACACATGAATAAGCTCAAGCTGATCTGCTGGAGGATGTGAGACAAGTGTTCTAGGACCTCCAGTGACCCCATCACCAAAGCCAAGAACCAGCCAATTCCCAGAAGCAGAACTCTGCAGCTGAATGTGAACACACAAATTCTCCAGGAGAGTCTAGAGTAGTACTCAGTTGAACTCACACAGCCAATCCGCAGAACTGCGGGCAGCACAAATAATTTGTGCTAAGCCACTGAGTTTGGGGGTTATTCTTACACAGCAACAGGTAACTGATAAATCCCAGATGTGAGTTACTTTCTGAAGATGTAAACTATTTTCTGTGTAACAGAAGACAATATTCTTCTAGGAATTGGGGCTAGGAAACTTGGAGAGCTCCTTTTCCCAGGTATGTGAGACACACCTCACAGCATGGCTTCAAGCCAGTTCTGACTTGCAGTTTCAGGATCCTCACCACTGCGTTGTCCCTTCACTCAGGTCTAGCCTTATAGACTCCGATAAGATGGGGTGCTAGACCAGCAGAAAGAGCTCCCCAGAGAAATTACTGCCTCACAATATCTGTTCGGAGGTGGAAGAGAAACTGCAGGCATCTTTCTGACACTTGAAAAGCTAGACCTCCCAACATGAGGCACTAAACGGAAGAAAGCCATGTGCTCAAACCCAGTACAGCTGCTCTTTCAGGAAGCACTGTAGTTGCATGCGCGGCACAGGCACCCAGGCACTCAGCTCTGGAAAGTGTTTGTTTCTAGGGGGCTCAGCCTGTAGTGGTAGCTGCTACTGTTGCTGCCGACAGTATTCTTCACACTTTCTTGCTATATAGCAGAATCTAATCTACAGAAAAAGCTGAAACTTCCAGGTAGGGCTCCATTCCCAGAGGACTCCGAAGACATGAGGGCCATGTGACTTAGTACCAACCAGTGAGAAGTATAAGTATGTCCACGGAGGACTCTGGATCTAAAAAGAGATCCACAAGAACAAGTGCCTGCCCTCATTCCTGTGAGGGATGCTGCTGAGGAGAGTGGGGTGCCTGGAGCTGCTGAAACAGCCATTGTCAAACTGTCACAAGAAGAAATAAAGTAAGATTGGGCCCAAGATGAGTTTACTGAACTGCAAAATCAATCAATCAATAGAAGAGTTCCTGCCAGGGCACAAGTCACAGCCCTCCATCTACCTATCAGTAATGTTCCGACATTTGACCAAAATTAGGGGTAGTCATGCCTGCACTGATGGTAGAGGACACACAAGGAGTTCTCCTCCTCTTGGGATAACTTGATGGTTCCTAAGAAGGAGCACAATCACCTTTATCCTCACCCTGTCCTCTGATCAATGCAATGGTGGGAAACCTGCTCATGATATCTGTCAAGGGCAGCAGGCACAAACACCCCTCACCCTTGGCTCCTGGCCAGGCCCCTTACCTTCCAGCACTGGTGCTTGGCATAGTAGTCTCCTTGTGTGATCCACTCTTCAGGAGTTGAGGTCTTAACAAACATGCTATCATCAAAGTCTAAAATGAAAAAAAAAAAAAAAAAAAAAAAACAAATTTTCTTTTTCAGGGCCGAAAAAGCAAGTTTGCTTCTCTAGGCACTCATACATCTACTGCTTGGCCTCAACTGTGTCCTCCCTCCTCCATCTGTTGAATTCTCTTCGGGGGGTCTATTTTGAGAAAGGGACTCCCTGTAGTCCCAGCTGGGCTGGACTAGCTATGGAGGCCAGGCTAGCCTTCTTCTCACAGAAATTCACCTGCCTCTGCCTCCCACAAGCTGAGACTAAAGGAACGCACTACCACACCCGGCACATTTGTTGAATTCTTAATTTCTAATACTTCAGAATATGACTTTGTTTGAAGACAGGGCCTTTAAATGCATCCTTTAGGGTGGGCCCTAACCCAATCTGACTGGTATCCTTTCAAGAGGACATCTTCTAGAAACCCAAGAGAGGCCTCAGAAGAAATCAACCCAGCCCACACTTGATTTTAGACTTCTGGATACTAGAAATGTGAGAAAATTAATTTCCATTATTTTATCCACCCAGTCTATGGCATTCTGTTATGGCCCCACAGCAGACAATACTTACATTGGCCTTCTAGACTCCAATAAGATATATTTTGGCTTACCAAGAACAGGTGGGTATGGGTTTCAGAAGAAGGAGATGAAAGTGGGAAAAAGATCTAATTTGATGTTGAAATTCTGGTCTACTTTCTTTCTCTATGGCTATGAACCAGAATTACTAACTCCTCCTGAAAATCCAAAGCCAACTAATTCTTTACAAGTTCTCGAGGAAAGAATTAGCAAGGAACAAGGTAATAGGATTTTACAACACACATACTACTTGCCTTAGGATTGACTGCATCTCAATAAACTACATGGAAAACTGAAAACATCGTAATTCAAAAATGTATTATATACACCTAACCTGCCAGACATCACAGCTTTACAACACAGCACTGTAGAGAATCACAGAATCTCCCTTGTGATTGAATGATTGACTGGGAGCTGTCACTTATTATCACTGCCCAGCATTGTACGAGAACACTATGCCACACATTACTAGTCAAGGTAAAGACCAAAATTCAGAACATAGTTTCTACTGAATGTGTATCAATTCTGTGTTTGGCAAAGCTGAAAAATCCCCAGATGAACCATCATAAATTAGACCCACATGTCTTTCCAGCTGTATATGTTGTCCTCATCACAGTAGGCAATCTAAACATTCCTGTTGGTGGTCACACACTACTATAACCACCTACTATCTGTCCTTCTGTTCTATACTAGCCCTGCTTAGCCATGGCCCCCAGAGTGACACCAGCAATGAGCACCAATGACCAACTTCATGAAGTACAGAAAGACTGAAGCCAAGACAATGCCAACAAGTCAGATCAGGGCTGAAGGGGCCAGAGATGTGTGGGCCAATGAGTAGCAACCAGAGAAGCAAAGTAAGCGTGTTCAGAAAGTACAAAGCCCATGCTAAGCTTCACAGCCTGGTCCATCGTTCCTGTCCTTCTGCTAGTCCTCTGAGGCACAATTCAGTGATTCCTATACTTCTCATTTTGACTCCATGTGTGCTATTACTGTCCAGGTGAAAGCTGATTCCCAGAAAAATGCCACACTATGTCAGAAGAGCACCAGGGAATCATGTTAAGATAGTCACCACACTCACCTCACATTCTGTCCAGTGGAAACATGTTCTGAAAGAATTTACCATGTCCAACTATAACTCAAAATTAAGATTGTCCTTGTTCTTGCATTCCTAATGCTACCACAACATGAAGGAAATGGCAATTATTTCATACTTCAAATTTGTAAATAAAAATGCCTATACGACTCCTATCCTCAGATCTGTCCAGTGGAAACATGTTCTGAAAGAATTTACCATGTCCAACTATAACTCAAAATTAAGATTGTCCTTGTTCTTGCATTCCTAATGCTACCACAACATGAAGGAAATGGCAATTATTTCATACTTCAAATTTGTAAATAAAAATGCCTATACGACTCCTATCCTCAGACCTCTTGGGTTAAGTCTATAGCGCAGCCCTCCGCCCCTTGAATCCCCAAGCCACATTAACCCTTCCATCTCCCCCGCTGTTCTCTACTAGTTTGGGCCCTGCGCCATTCCTAGTCTTGGGGCCCCAGACACCTGGAGAACCAATACTGCTTCCTGATCCTTT